TTTAAAGAACTTTCAGAAGTTTGAATTCTGAATTTGAGCGACTTTTCCTTTAAACCTCAGTCACTGTCATGGTGTCGCTGTAGGAGATCTGTACCCATGTGTCCATTAGTGTTCCTGTAGGATCTGCTTTTACAGGCTGTCTGTTCTGGTGTGTCCCTTTGGTGGAAGAGAAATCTAAAAGTAAACTGATTTATCAAACTGGGCATAAAAAGAAGGTAAATTCCGAGCATTTTAGAATATCTCTCTAGGTCTGACGTCAACATTGCCACATTATCACCGACCAAGCTGAACAAAATCCCTTAAAGGGTCATTAAAAGATTTCTGGGCTTTAGAAAATGACCTTCAGCTCCCGTATTGAACAATAATAAAGATAATTCATCGTAAAAGTCCTTATTTTCTTGTTTCCTTTAACATTTAATGCTACTTCAGGTACGGTAACTCAGAGTTGGATGTGTCGTAACAGCAGTTTATTTCCATCAGCCTCACAATCTGAACCATCTCTAACTCCAACATGTGAACGTATTTTCAGCCAGAGCGCGTCCTAAGATGATCCCAATGTAAGCAGTTGGATGTCCAATCAGGGAGGGTGTCTGTAAAAACGGGGCTGAGGGGGAGGACCGACTACCTCAGAGGGAAAGGTTGTTTTCAGGTCACCGTCTCGCTGGATTTGATTCAATGCAACGGAGACAACGGCACTTATGTTAATCTGTTGGCCAGGAAAGAAGGTTAATGCCTCTGGTGCGTCTCATTCCCAGAGGCATGTGACACACGCAGACCCAGCAGAACACGTGTGGCCAGCGCAGAAATGTTTGAATTAAAAAATGGGTTTTATTTATTCAGAGGATTTATGCCTAAAATAAATCTCTCTCCTGAATGAAAAAATATAATAGCTTATAATTATGAAGGTATCTTTCTGACGTTATTGAACCTGATATGGAAATGATAAAACATCACAGATCATTAGAGCCTTAAAGATGGTGACAGACGGCAACTAATCAATCCAGATGAAATGATCCAACCATCCTCAGCCTGTTGGCAAACATTTAAACCTTCGTGATTTAAACA